TAGCACCCTTTCCTCTCCTCCAGTGATCTTGTAGCATTAAAATCCCCCCCAATGCACCAGTTAACCCTATTACTAGAGATCAGGCTAACTATTTCTTCCCACAACTGTCTCTTCTCAAAGTTATCACATGGAGAATATACATTAAGCACATAACAAGGCACTGCATTTGGACCCCAATATCCCATAACACCCATATAACTATCACCCTCCAACAGCTTTTCCATCCTAAACACCTCCTTATTCTAGATACATAATAAGCCTCTAGATCTTTCATTAGATACTTTAGCAGCCCACTCAAAATTGTCCTCCCCCCAAATTTCTCTACATAATCTTCTATCTACTAACTCTAATTTTGTTTCTTGAATAAGTAAAAGCTCCACCCTCTCATTTCTTACAAGATTTCTAATCTCCCTATTTTTTCCGCCACCCCTGAATCCTATAACATTGCAAGACAATATAATCATCTTGTCTTACCACCCCCGACCTCATTATGCTCCTTTTTGCCTGTAGTTGTCTTGCACCGTTCCCTATCTCTTAATTCCATTTGCTCTAATTTCTTCAAAATCACCTCCTCTTGTACAGTAGCCACCACCCCAATTGTCTTCGCAAACTCCCATAATTCCTTGGCCCCAATCAACTTTTCCTTAGCCAAAATCCCTCTGTTGCAGTTGTAGATGTTGCTGTCTTCCAATGATTCCCCAACCACTTGGTTACTTGAGGTTGGAAAAAATTTGGGCATATCTGAGTTCGGATCTATCTTCTTCCTTGATCTTCCACTATTTCTCTTTCTTGTTCTTGCTTGAATCACCTTGGCATCCCTGTAAATTGCAGCACATGATTTTGCTTTTCTGCTCCTCCTTTTTGCTTCCCTGCTTTCGCCTCCTCCCATCCATTCTTTAATTGGTCCTGAATTGCTATCAATATTTTCCCAAAATGCAAGGTGTTGAATTTCTACATCAGTTCCAGTTTAAGGGCTTGTTCTGCTCGGTTGGCTTTGAAATCTCGTCAACTACCTGTTCTTTATCACATTGGTCCAACTCACGATCTCGGGTTTCTTGGGCCTTTTCACGGTCCAAACCATGAGCTGCATCACCATTGGGCTTTATTGAAATTGGTCCAAATGACAATCCCACGCTCTCTTCATTTATAGTCTTCCAACTGTCATGCACTTCCTTAGTTTGTTGTACAACAATCTTTTCCTCTGGTGCAGCCGCTGTTCTAACAGGAGCAGTCGAACTGGCATCAGCCGTTGCCCCAGAATTTTTCTTTTTGGAGCTACCATCATCAGTCCATTTAATGCTACTCCTTGAGTCTTTCACTCCACTGCTACAATTTGAATTCAAACGCTTTGTGCCCTCCAACTCCAAGCCTTGAGCAGCTGCCACGTCTTCATCGTCACCAACTTCCTTCCAAGACAATACTGAAAATCTACCTTCATCACCAAAAAGTGACTGGCCTTCGGTAGAACTTGATTGTCCCTAATAATCGCTATTGTATTCCATATCTTTAGGATAAAAAAAAAAAAAACAATGAGAACCTAACACAAACTAATCTGGAGAAGAAGAAACCTTTGGTGAGTTCCAAGCAAAAGAAAAAAACAAGAATTCATCAAGAATTGGGCTGGGTTTGATCATAAAACTTAACCAATAAAATAAAGCATTTGACTAGAAGATAGACATTATCATATGATTGCTTGATGATCAAAGATTTAACACAAACTAAAACTAGTAGTAGAGTTTACAGAAAAAAAAAAAAATTAAAATTGCAAATTCATGGTTGCTTTTGCTGAGAAAAGAGAAGGTAGAAAAGGAAGTGCTTGGAACTGATTGCGTAACCCACTTATTTGAAGAGTCTTGAATCTGTTTTCTACAGGATCATAAGAAACCAGAGAACTGTTGTTATACTGCAACAGAAACTCCCCATTCTTCAGTGCACATATAAACTTCGGAAGTCTGCTAACTGAGCTTGAAGTATTAACTGGCCATCCACGAGGTAGATAGGGATCAAAGGAGAATTGTTTTACCCAAGATTCCTTAACATGGTATTGCTTCATCACCCAGATATCAAAATGCCCAGTTTGAACTGACCCAACAGCCGATAGACACCCATCGAGCACGGAAAGACTGTAGTGATCTGACACAAGTCGTTGACAAGGTGGGTGCGGAATTTCTTCGAACACGTCATCTGCAAGGTCGAAGGAGATAATACCAAAGATAGGATCGACTCCTCCCATCCCAACCAGAGTCACCCAATGGAGAGATCCTTCAACCAGAGCCACAGGTGGTCCGATTTCATACCCCAATTGTGGAGGCGGAGCTCCTTTGTTAATCCACTCTGTTGTTCCTACGGTAAACACCTCAACCATTGATTCATCAACGGTGTCGAATCCTTCAGCTAGTTCTTCCACATCTAGCGCTGGGTCTCCTACCATAATCATCTTCTCATAGTACACAATCCTGACCACTTTGAATTCTCCTGTCCTCGGATGAAACCCAAATCCAAAGACTTCAAATTGATCAAAAAATTGGTCCGCTGGTGGGACTCTCACGGCGTCTCCAACAAAAGGATTGTAAATTAGCAGACCGTGAGACACCAATGAATCACTGATTATGCGAAAGGATAAGCATAACAGCCCGTTACAAGAACCCACCAGATTATCAACTTCTGAATGCTTTGGTGGGTCGATTTTCCTAACCCTTCCACTACAATGCTCACTATCCAAAAAATAGAGTTGCAGGGACGAGGAGACAGGGAAATTGTAGTTGTACAGAATCAGACATGGATTTGAGTCGCTTATCCGGTTGCGGAACATCAGAGGGAGTCTTGGATCGGCAATTAAATCATAGCCGGTATGGGAAGTGGTCTTAAAGTGAATCAGAGAGGTGATAGGGAGTCTTGGTAGGATTTCGAGTAGAATTTCCCGTGGGAGAAGATAAAGATCTTTCTGAACCATAGCTCTGCTGGAAGGATCATCTGCAAGGTTGACTCTTTCAGTCTCTTTTCCCCCTTCGGCATCCATGTTTGTGCAAAGAGAAAGGAAGTGTGAATGACGGGAAACGTTGCCGGCGTCGTATATTTGGCGTCGAAACCACAGTGGAAGATTGGAACTTTATTGGGTTAAGGCCACTGAACGCTCTTCCTAAGGAATTGATTGGGATAGGCCTCCTACACCCCCATTTGACCTCGTAAAGTCTTCCCTCTACTTTGCAAAAAATAAAATAAAATAAAATTCAGTCATCCTTTGTTTTTATTTTTGACAAGTGAGATATTGATTAAAGATTAGTATATGTTCAAGTCAACAGTAAGATTGAACTCGGACGAACTTCACCTGTTTTTCGTGAAGGGACTTGACCCATCCATTGGAACACATGGTGAGTTCACATTCATAATCATCCTTATACTAACCTCGTCACTAAGTTTAGAGAAAAGGTATACAAAATTGGAAAAACTGGAAAAATTATTTTACCAAATGGATTGTATATAATTTATTTGTAAAATTATGTAAATATTTTTAATGAAATAATATAAAAACAAAGTTAAGAGTATTTAAACAATTTTATAGAATAAATTATATATAGTCCGTCCTCTAAAATAAATTTTTGATAAAAATTAATTAAGAATTACAATATAAATTTACATTTCTAAATGCATATGTAGTTGCACTATGGCTTGTTATTCATAATAAATAATTTTTAGTTATAGTTTAAAAAATTAAGCATAATTCGTATATTGGAAAGTCAATGAAAATATTTGACAAAACTTAAAAAGTACTTATTGGAAATTTTATTAAATAAAAATTCAGAAATTGAAATTAAAATTGGTATTTGTTTACACCATAAATTGTAAAATTTTAAATTAATGTCACGTGTAAAATATTTTTATTGGTTGGAGGAGATTGAGCCATGTCAGATTCAGATTCTGAGCCCCATAACAGATCAACACTTGTGTTGGCAAAATAGAAGAGGTAAAGATAAGTTTTTATAGAGTAATTATCTTCTTGAGACAGAAAGAGATAATGGGAGCTGGAAAATAGGAGAAGATGCAGTTAAAAAAGGGGTTCTATATGATAAGAGTACAGGTGGCAAAATCTACAAGGAGATTAGATTAGGTCAAAAGGTGAGGTGTCCCACTACTTCAAGAAACCACTCATAATTGAGTAACTGCAGAAAGTGAAAGTTACTGCCGGCATAAGGAGAACAAAAAGGAAATTTTTGGAAGGAAGAAAACACGGCCAGCCCTACTCAAACATCTGCAAATTTTCATACTTTTATTTTCTCTGTAATCTGCTTCTAGATTTCGAATTTCAACACAGATTCCATTAGTATTAGGTTGTTTTTCATCATTCCAGTAGGCAAATTAATTCATGTGTTCAGTTCAACAATTTCCTTTCATGCAATGAACTTCAATCTTTCAGGTTTATGCAAGGTATTGTTCTCTTTTTTCATTTGCAATTAATTTAATATTTATGATAAGTAGCATTTTACTCAATGATTACTTATGTGGTGTTCATACCTCCTTTCAACCTTAAGCATGGTAGTTTAATCACTGCTCACATTAATTTTAATGTTAATTAGGGTAAAATCTTTAATTCTGCAGTATTTCAATTTTAAAATCTGCCAATAGATAGCATTTTACTTTAACAGTCAACATGTTTAATTTAATTTATGCACATTTTATTCTAGTAAATTTATTTTAAATTGCAAGTTATTTAGTTCAATTAGGATTTGTTAATTTTAAGTTACGCTAGTGTTTAAGTCCTTGGAGTTGTCCAAGGCAGATTTCGTAACCCATTCTGCAGAAAGGTATCCCTCCCTCTTGCAAATCATTTAAAGACGCAATTTCAATTTTAATTCAGCATTCTTCCCGCCATCTGCAAAGAGGTCAACCGTGAAAAAGGAGAGGGTCGTTGGGAAAGTTACTTTCAGCAAAGTAAGTGGCACGCCCGCATCCAGATTTCACATGTGCGAGGCTACTAGAGGATTTTTGGGAAAACAGTATTTAAGTAAATTTTGAAAAAAATTATACATCTAAATTTTTTCCCAAATTTACTTTAAAACACCTTTAAAAGCCAATTTTTGATAATCTATTCAACAAAATTTCAAGTTTATAAGAAAATAATTTATTCTTTTAAATTTATCAAATACCTTCAATGTTGTAATATCCAATTTTATTATGAATAAATAAATACATTGTTTGCTTCTAATTATCATAGCCCTTCATATATGTTG